GGACTGGGGTCGCTGGCCGAGCAAGGGGGGCACGGAATTTATTTATTTCATTTTCTCCCTTCGTTCTGGGTTAGCTGGCGCCGTTTTAAGCGAGGTAAAATGTAGCGCATCTGGCAAAGGCAAAAAGCCTCGAAGAGCGGGGCTCTTTTAAAAAGGTGAGGCCTTCTGATCAAAATATCCTTTATGCCAAATGAAAGGAAATCAGGATAAGAAAGATAAGGACGTTTCATTTTGGTTTTGATTTAAGGATGACAACATATCCATGATTAAGTTATTTGTTATGATTAATTTACTGCTGAACAGAAATTTCTTTAAACTGCATTTCAAAGTTGCCGAAGAGAACCATAAAGATGCCCTCCACAAACGAGAAAACAGGACAATTCCTTAGCCAGAGCTGTCCCCTTCTATTTTAATCTTCTGTTTTCAACATTAGTATTTTCCCAATAAGCTGCACTTCATTAAGTAAATGCTTCAAAATTCATGAACATTGGAACAGTTACAAATGCAGCTCTATAGCCGTAGCTAATTTCCTGTGACGTATGCTAGAGATCTGTTAGAGTACACAGGTGATGCTCTTTTGACATACCAGTTGCATTCCTCCTCTGTGCCACTGTTAAAAAAACCTATTTGGTAATCCATGGATAAACCAAAGTAATCCAGTGTAGGCGGGCCAACATCCCAGGAAGACCCTGATTGGTTCAGGGCTGTTTAAGAAGAACTTCATGTGGAAGTCCTTGAAAAATGCAGTGCCCAGACAAGAGTAAGGATATTTGCTCTCGGCTGGGTAAGAACAGCCATTGAGATCTGGGAAAAGTTCGGTAAAGAGCTCACTAACACTTCTCTGCTTTCAATGACACACTTTGCACATTCTGAAAAGCCCTACTGTAAGAGGTGAACTCTCAGTCTCTTTGGAGTAAATAATAACCTCTTACAGTTTCTGCTTTCTTCATTTTGAACTCTTTTTTCATCCTTTGGCAAACAGAAACCAATATTAATTGGTGCTTCACAAAGAATACAAAAATGTAAGAGTTTGTCTGAAGTGATAATACACTGAAATTATAGGTATTATTAGGACATCACATGAAAATTAAAGACTGTTAGGGTAAGCCTGGCATGCACAGTCTGTTTATATTTCTACACCGGCATTTTGTAGGACCTGGGCTGTTTGGTTTGCCCTTGGCATTAATGGGAAATTCATAAGTTCTAAATACTTAGGAGATGGCAAAATGGGAAACACCAAAGTACAGCGGGCATCTTCGAAACTTGTGGCCACAAAAGAGATGTAGAAGGTTACAGAGATATTGCCAAAATTTCAATGGTTTCTAGTAAGAGCCACAGCTGAGTGGCAAAGTGTGCATTAAGGGCAGAGTCTGCTCGTGCAGTGTACTTTTATTTCATGTTTCATATTGGGAGGTGGTCATTAGTGGCTGGCAGTTGATGGAGGGGCTTGTTATTATCACTACTTGCCTTTGTTGAGTCTCAGGATGATGCAAGGGCACATGTATAGATTGCTTTTAACCACACTTCTAGACTCCACATAGATAAGAATTAATTAAAATGCAGATTTACTTCTGTATCCACATATGTAAGACCTAAATAAAGTAGATACATCTTAAATGTTCAACCTGTGTCTACTATACAGTGAGACAGGGATTAAGGGTAGGTATGCTTATAACATTTCTTGTGACTGCTGAATTGTTGGCTCGCAGTCTATGAGAAGTGGACACTTGAAAAATATCAAAAATGGTTTTACAGCTTCACAGATGGTCCAGAGGCAGGCAGAGATATGTGCATAGTATCCCAATTTTGTCAATTTATGAATTAAAAATTGGAAGTAGGTGACTTTTACAAATGACCACAGGGAGAATATGTAGAAAACCCCCTATAGTAATGCTATTATATTCCCTATAATGATATTATCTACTATCTGAAACTCCACAGATAGATACTGAATTCTAGTATCTATCTGTTTTTCTGTAGTTGCAAAGATTTTTCTTCCAACAGTAAAAATGTGTTGCAAGCCAGGGACAATAATATCTGTAACAAAAATTATGTGGCTCACAGATGGGTATCTCTACCAATGACTTCAGCATTCTGAATCAGCTGACCCCTCCTCATATAAATGCTGCCTACTTATCAGGAGAGAATTAAATAAGCACAGTTACATTAGGATAAGAAGGATAATAACAGTAATAACAATAAAAGAAATCCTTTTTTTTTTTTTCTCACAAAATTAAACATCAGAGTATATCCTAGTTAAATTCAGAACAACTAAATTATTTGAGTGGAACAACATTTGCCTCACAGCTGTTCAATGTTTCTGCTTTAAAGACAGGAGAGAAGGTAACTCTGCTAAGTATTGGGATTCTACTCCTTCACATATGAGGGTGTGACTAGGTTTTCATTTTTATTTATATTTGTGCTGAATATAGACTTTTTAATACCTTATCTGTGGTTTACTGCATCATATGTGAGGAGTCATCTGAATTCATAAGCCACTGTTTTTTACCAATTCCTGTTTCCAGGATGCTCCAAGAAGCAAAACTTTTGTTTTTTTGTTTGGGTTTTTTGTATTGTTTTTAGAGGAGGATTTTTGTTTTGTTGCTGTTATAAACCTTAGACTTGGTGAAAGCAAGAACAGAAGTGTTTTTTGTGTTGGAAAGGAAAGGAGGAGGGAGTCGAGAAATCCTAAATAATAACATCTCTAAGTACCCCAGCAGTACCTTCTAAAGCTGGAAGATAAAGCTCATGAGGAAGTTACCATGACTACAGAGGCGGCATATTTGAATGAAAATGGATGTTAAGCTTTTAAATGCTAATTGCAGTTGGGAACAGGTGACATTTGAAATATAAAAATTATTTCACACTTTGCCATTTTTAACAAGTGAAACAGGATAGAAAAGATGACAACATAGTGTTCAATTAAAACACTGCTTCTGGCTTCAGCTTGGATAGAGTTAATTTTATTTGTAACAGCCACTATGGGGT